AAGTTTGACAAACAGCGCCTCCTGGGGTGGGGAGAGTGGAGTGCCGCTGCGCAGCGGGAGCCGGGAGCCGAACAGCCTGGACTCCCACCCACCCCGGGGCAGGTGTCCACCCCGAGTCCCGCCGGGCCCAGCAGCCGGGCCCCGGCTCCGCGACCGGAGCACCTAGTCCTAGCTGATGCCGTGACCCCAGGGGCGCGCGGAAACTGCCACACGCTGCCTAGTCCTAATTGCCGCCCTCCTGCGGGCGCAAGAGTCGGACCAAGCCCTGCACAGGGCAAAAGGCCTAGGTCCCCAGCGCCGCGCGAACGCCGGTGCTGGAGAGAAGCCTGCGCTCTAAGCGCCCAGCCCCGCAGGGGGCGATGGACGTGACCTGGAACTCTCTCAACCCTCTCCCTGGAAAACTATGGGCGCTCCAAGCGGGGCGAAAACGCCAGGGTGTGCCTCGGCTCCCGCAGCGTGCGAAATTACAAAAAGAACAGTTAATTATTGTCTCCTTGTCCTAACTTTTCTTGGATTCCTTCTGTCACTTTGGCCGACCCCACAAGTCAGCCCTGGGGGCTCTTCTACCTGAGCGAAAACCCCAAATCAAACACTCGCGAGCTGGGGCTTCTCCCAACGCACCCGGCAACCCTAAAGGTTGCCTCTCTGCAAAGATGCTCCGAGGAGCCATCGAGCTGGGAAAGACAGCTGGTGCGTGGCGGGGTCCCTCGGACCCGAAAGGGCGCAACGGTTTAGCAACGAGCTGGGATTTCTCGTGCTGCGTTCGGCGGCGCCGGGAAAGCAGTCCGGCTGGATGCGCCCGAGCGGGCGCGGGAGACGCGGATTCCGCGCCGGCCCGCCCCGGCCAGTTTACAAAGCAAACTTTCCCCAGAGAAGTTCCGAGATCGAACGGCGCGCAAAGTGCACCAATCAACACCTAAACAGACCCAAACTGTACAAACACGGATCGATCAGATAATTTCAAATATTATAATTGGCTTTAATTAAACACACTGCGTTCTAATTAACTCTGAAATTTTAGCATGCTTTGGGACACCGGTGTCTGATTTGATATTGTCAGTCCAGATGCCCTAATAAAATTCAATCCTCCACTCAAGACTTCAATATTCACCAAGAACAAAATGCAAATTAAATGTAAAACCTAAAGTATCGCCAAAGGTATAATCAAGAAAGGTGTCTCAAAACTTCTCACTTTTTATTACGCAGTAGTTAAAAAATGCAGATTACATCCTAACAAGACCTCTCCAGCATACCATAAATCTTAACTCTTTCATGGACGGGTGTGGAGCGCCATGCCACTGGCTTGAAGGGAAAGGAGGGGGCGGCCAGACCTCATGCCAGAATTAAATACCCTCTCTGGAAGCTAACCGCGCACAAAAGTTTGCCAATAAAATTCTAGTTTGCAACCGCAGTTTGCCAACGTGAGTAAAGGAAGTTGGGGTGGTGGAGAGCCGCGGTGGGCACGGAAGGGAAGGGTAGCCAGGGCCACTGATGCTCGGATGTCCTCCTCCTCGGCTACCCGATCTCACTCCTTCACAACACCTCAACGGGGTGTATACGCTGGTTCTGGTGCGCAAAAGTGGGGCGGTGGGTGCCGGCGGCAGGGCCGGGGAGTCCGCCCGGGTAATTAACTCAGCTCCCGCGACTGCGACGAAGAAGCCGGGAGGGAAGGAAGAGCACACTGCCCTTGGACAGAAATGTGTCAAGCCCTCCTCCCTTCCAGCCTGCACAAACCCCTCTGCGCACATTGGCGCGACTTCTAAGGGTCCAAGCGGGCGCACTGGGTCGGGCGGTGCGCGGCTGCAGGACGCACCCCTCCTCTTCCCCCAGGAATGCGGGCGCACGCCGGGGCTGGAGCGGGAAGGGTGCACCTCTGGTCACAAATTCGGCCGCGAAGAGATTCTTTACCAACTCTAAGGGTTTGCTACATTTACAGACCAGAATGAGTCCCGTTAAAAAGAAGCTATTCCCACATTAAACATGTTTATGTTTTCCATACTAATGGAGTCACTTAAAGCTGTTGCTAATTTAACTTTTTTAAAAGCCCACACTGGAAATTTGCATTTTCTTTAGGACATTGAAATGAAGAGAAAACTGCTGGGCGGCGTGGCTGCCCAGGGCATAGCTAGGGGCCATGTAGAAATAAAAACAGATAAAGAAAAGAAGAAAGAAAGAAACTGCCTTCTCTTCTAGACTATTAATAAGCAATTTGTCCCGCTGAAATTTACATTGCAAAGCGGAGGGCGCCAGCAGCCGCGGCAGCGGGGCTGGCGCAGGCTCCGGGGGTGCAGCGGCGCGGTGGCGGGGGCGGAGACGGGGGTGTCCTCCGGCCATCCGGGCAGCCCTCGGGGGCGATCCACCGGCGGCTTTGAACTCCGTATCCTTTCTGCCGCGCCGCAGACCCTCGCCCGCACACGCGCGCATCTGCACGCCAGGGCCCTGCCTGGGCCACGCACCCGGAGGCCGGGACTGGAGTTGCCCTAGAGCCACCCTGGCCGGGCTGCAGCCGCTTGGGGGTCTCCAGGGGGCGGGAATCCCTCCGCTCCCAGTGACGCCTTGAACTGACGGACCCCCATCCGCCCCAAACCACTGCCCCGTCCTTAAATTTAAAATGGCAACAATACGCTTATTTATTTATTTTTTTCTGCTTAGCCGTGCCGCTCGGGTCCAAGTCCGCCGCAAACGTGGATCCCCGAACCCCGCGCCCCCGCCGGCTCCCCCGCCCGCGCGCCGCCCGAAGGAGCCGCGGATCCCGGGCCTAGCGTGGGGCCAGGGCGCCATCTACGGGCGCCGCGCGGCTCCCGGCGGCCGCCGCCTCCTCCCTCTCCGGGTCCAGAGCCGCTCCTCCTCCCGCCGCCGCCGCGCTCGCCCCGCGCCGCCTGCCACTTATCACAATTACCCGACGCTCCCGTGCCATTTTGCTTATGAAACATTGATTGCTAGTTACGCGGACTTTTAAGCACTATATTAAAACTTTCGAAATGAAGGCGCTCTCCTGCCTGCGATTTTTAGGCACAAGATTAAAAGATATGAAATGTAAAGATAATGCAATTTGATTTGTTAGTCTAACTCTGCGACTTGAGACTTGATGTCCCCAAAGACCAGGCGAGCTTTTCCCCTTTATTTATTTTTATTAAAACATCAATCTACGCTGGAGCTGGGTGAACTCGGTTTCACCTGGAGAACATAAAATTCTCCATACCAGAGAAATAAGCACCTTTCATAAATCAATGGTATTCCTGACACATCGATCAATTTTTGGTTGTTAATCCGAAAGGAGGAGTTTTAATTGCTTCCTGCGTTCTCTTCCTGGCACCTAGGCGCTTCGACTTTCCCCTTCCCTCCCTCTAAGGGTCTGGCGTTTGTACTGGGGTAGGACGGAGAATGAAAAACCCGGGGCCCTTCAGCTAAATCCTCGGCGCCCCGGATCTCCGCCCGCGCCTGTACGCGCCTCCCCTGCGGGGAGAATCGCTGGCACGCGATCGCCTCCCCGCAGCCCCGCCGGGAAAGCTGCGAGGGGAGGCCACCGGAGGCCGCGCAGTCAGAGCTCACCCGGAGCCAAGACGCTGCCAGGGCGCGGCGCAAAAGTTCACTGCGAAGCCAGGCCCGGGTACAGCCACGGTCACCGGCTCCCGCATCCCCAGTCCCACCCCGCGCCTCCGCCGCAGCCCCGCCCGCGCTCCTGCAGGCGGCGAGAGGAGCGCACCCGGCTCCTGGGCCCAGGCAACCCGGCCGGCCCCCAGCGTTCAGCGTCCGGCCGGCGACGCGCGAAGTTCAACTTTGCCTGCGCCGCGGCCGCCTAGGGGCGGCGGGCTGGGGCGGAAAGCCCTGGATGGGATCGCGAGCGCGCCTACCTGTGCCGCTCACTCGACGGACATAGCGAGCGCCCTGGCCGCGAAGTGTGGGCGGCGCGGGCGGCGGGCCGGGAGGTGTGCGGCCCCGCGCCTTCCCACGTTCCCACCTCCCGCCCTCCCGGGAGAGCCCACGGGCCCGGCCGCGAGCGCGCCAGTGCGCACGCGCCGCGCTGCCTTCCACCGCGGGCGGCGGCGGCGCGGAGGGCGAGGGCCGAGCAGGGGCGCGTGGAGGTGCCCGTAGGTGGCCCCGCGGCCCGCCTGCCGTCGTGACCCGGGCCCGCAGCTGCACCCGGCGCTGGCCACCTGGAGGAGAGGCCTCCTGGGCCACGCGCGGGGCTCCTCCGCGGAGAGGCCCTTTTGCAAGGACCCGAGCGCCTGTCTTTCCTCGGGGGCCTGAGGGCATTCGTGCACCGCCTTGGCCAAAAGAGTGTGCCAGGCCCGGAGTGGGGCATCGCTGCTGTGGACACCTATTCGCGCGGCGTCTGGAAGCGGGTCCCAGGCCCTGGGAGGCTCGAAACAGTCTGTGTGGACAGCGCACATTCCCCCGGGTAGGAAATGGCTCGGGTCCCCCCCACCCCAGCCCTTTTTGGTAAAGTGAGTGACAGGACATCTTCCTAGATGCGGATAATTTAATGAAAAGTATTCTACTGGGCCCCGTGAAGGCTAGAATGAAATGGGAAGAGGCCAGAGATCTCCCACAAGACAGAGAGGGCCTGAGTTTCTCCAATAAAGTCAAGCTATGCAGGGGGGGAAAAAAACCCGGCTGGACCGCTCCTAGATGAGCTTTGCGTTTAGGGCAATCTCAGAGAACGGGGCTTCGGCCACCTTTTGGAGGCCAGGCGAGCCTGACCACTCCACTCCAAGTTTTGATGTCACCCAGAAAATGACCAGAGGTGGAACCTTCCTCCTAAGTATCTGGAGCTGCTGCTCTGGACTCCGGATCAGGCGGGCGTGTGACCTGCATCCCCGACCTGATGGCTGTCCTGGGGTTGGGAGAAGCTGATCAGTCCAGGCCCTGGCCCCTACCCGGGCCTGCTGCGCTTCTTCTAATCTGCCTCTTCTGGGAGAACCTGGGACTCCTGGCAGATCCTACTAATTCTTATCCATCTGCTTCTTCCAAATCTAAGTGTGTAGTAGATACGTGAATGAAGACGACTCTCCTGTTGCAGGGGTTGGTCTGAACAGCACTCCAGAGGGAATGTGAGCCTCACCCTCGTGTATCCATCGCTTTTGCTCGCCTGTTTCTTGCTCCTAGACCTGTTTTGTACTCTTTACTTCAACCTTTTACAGTGAATGTGCTGAATCATGAAATCTTACTGGAAGGTAAAGTTATTTTTGGCCATTTATTTAGCAAAAGGCACTCTAGAGAATGCAACCCAGAAATGTACTTTATTATGGTAGCTTAATGTAAGAAAAGAACTAAATAACGAATATTTCCCCTTTATCATCTTCACTTGGGAATCATTTTTAATGTGAGCCAGCATGAAACCATTTATGCAATATGCAACATTTTAAGATATAAAATTACCCATGTTTTTAATAGCAGCTAGCATGTATTGAATGTTATGTGCCAGGCACAAGCTCGGAAAAGTTAAGGGACATGCTTTTGTCACACTGCTGGGACGCTGGGACTCCAACCTCGCTGCTGGGCTGGAAAGCTCTGCGCATATGGTTTTACCATGTGTGGCTTCAGAGGCAAAGGGAGGGGTTTGGGGAAGGGTACCACTCAGTGCCACACGTGAAGTGGCCTTTGCTCAGTCTGTCTAACCAGTGGATGTAAAATGACACGGATGAAGCAAGAAAATGGTTCAGTCCCTCTAAGAATGACTCAGTGACTCCCTTCCTTCACCAGCCCACCCACACCACCCCGCTGCTCTGTCCCTCCTGCTCCTCTCTTTGCCCCCTTCCCTCCTTCCCTCCAAGGCTTCCGTCTCAGGATCTCTTTCCTCTAAATGGGCCCCTGGGCACACTGCTCTGCCCACCCAATTCTCTTCCAGAGCTGCTCCTAGAGAATGGGGCCATGCCTTACTCTAAGTGGGTCCTCGAGACATAGTTTTTGCAAGAATGAGGAATGAACGGAGAAATATTGGCCATGTAGACAATGACTCCTGATAGGGCCCTGGAGAGGAATGGCATTGGTCACACAGGTGCATCCCTGGGAACCCCCTTGGCCTGTTAACAGGAGACCCACAGCCTCATCTTCACAGCTAAGGAACAGCACAGAGGTTGCTGTGAATATCATGAGAAATCATGGCTTTCTCTGCTCCTCACTTGTTCCTGCAGTGGAGACATCTGCCTCCCCACCTTCCTTTCTCCCTCAGATACTCACTTAGGCTGAGTCAGGCCGGTGGAGCCCAAGTCTTAAGTAAGGGCCTGCCCTCATGGAGCTTACCATTTAGCTTGAAAACAAATCCTCCTTACAAAAGAGACAGGTTAGAAGAAGAGGAAGCAGCTTTGGTGACATTTGCATTGGGAGAGGCTTAGAAAGATCCTATAGGTTAAGCTCAATTCTCTCAGTTGCATAAAAATCAATGTTCCTTTCATCCATCCACCAATGTATGTTTTGTCACGGGCCACTGTACCTAGAAATGTACATTCACAAACATCAATATTCAAATGTTTCAATATTTATTTTTATCTCTTTTTTCATAGAAAGCAATGTGTCTTGCACCCACCACTAACCAGCTCGCATGTTCAGTAAGAGCCTAGGTGGCAACTCAGAGGCCAGCAACAGCGCATACCAGCCTGAGGGGGCTGAGGCCCGGAGGACCCTGCATGGAAACTTGGTAGGGGTGAAATGCAGTCACTGTGCCAGAAGTCAGAAATGAATCATGGGTACTTTCAGAGGACAAATGCTGAAACAGTCATCGTCTGTTCTGCTTGCAGGCAGCGTGGTGCCTCTGGTTCTGACGTTAAATGTGTCCACCGAGGATCTTCCCTGCAGGAGTGGAACGCCCAGAGGTCGGGATCCACCCACCAGTCTCTTCATCTGCTTTACACAGAGCCCGGAACAATGTGGGGGCTCCGTAAAGATGTGTACGACCGATAAATATGCAATTCAGTTCTGAAAACTTTATGCTACGGAAAATTTCAAACACACACAAAAGTTGATAGATCCCAAGTCTCCATGTGCCCTCCTCCACCTTTGATTATTCTCAACATTTTGCCAACTTGCTTCCACCATTCTTTCCTCATCATTTGTTTTCTTAGAAACTGTATTTGTATATTTACAGGATCCAAAGCTATAGATGAAAATGCACAATCCTCGTGTCCAGCATTCAGCCCCAAACTCCTCTTTTCCCCCTTACCTCACATGTTCCATGCTAGTCCAGGCGGGTCCTGCCGGCCCCGTGACCAGCTTCCTGCTCCCATGTGAGTGCTGGGCTCTGTACCCTTGGCTTCTGGAAACTCTAGCCTTGGTCCTTAGTCCAGGGACTTAGTCGGGGAAAACCAGAAGACTGGATTTCCTGGCCTCATAATCACTGGTTGAAGGCCTGCCCTGGGAAGATACAACATCCCAGGCACTTCCTGTGCTAGTTGCCTGTGGAAATGTGGTTCCACCTGTGCAGAGCTGACCCTTGGAAGCAAAGGGCACAGCAAAGCTGGGGGGATGGCGCAATGTGGGACAGGAACCTGAGGAATCTGTAGAGCACATCTGTAACAGCAAGTACCCCAGGTGGGATTGCCCATCAAAAGTGTGTGTTATAAGGGTGGACAGGACATATGCATGCTTTTATCTAAGAATAAAATTGTGTGCAACTGATATATGCATTGTCTATAACTAAAAATAATTTGAGAGAGATACCTGACACTTGAAGGAAGCTTCATATTGCTTTTATGATTGAGAATACTTTGCAAAGTCTACTTGGTAATGACAGAGATGCTCCACGTAGGACACAAACAGGGTATCTAGTATTAATTCTGCAATGACTGGGGTGGAGGTGCAGGTACCCCGGCACTAAGAAGAAAGAGACAGAACAGGTCACCACCGTGACTGAATGAGAGTGACTTAGGTTCTTCTTGTGAAGAGGTTGATTTCTCAGAGAAAGGTGTCAGGGTAGACAGGAATTCTACTAGAAGAGTAACCACCTTCCCCATCAACTGGCTTGGATCCAGAGCACTGACTCCTGCAGCTCGGAGCCAATGTAAATGTGGCTGTGAGGTAAGAGGTCACATATCAGGTGACAGAGAGTCAAAAAAGAATGTGGCAGCCGCCCTCCCAGGAGCTGAGCAAGCCCAAACTGCAGAACTTGCTCACCAACCATGGAGTCCTATCAGAGAAGACAGGAGCCACCCAAGCAGAGCAGACAGAAACCCTGTGGTTCTGTTAAGAATATTTTCAATGCATTCATTAAATCTGTTTTTGTATGTTCACTAAGAGCATTCCCTCAAATTGAAATAGTATACATCTGTCCCATGAATTCTACTACTCAGGAGGAAGTCATTTTTAGAAAATACCAATAGTCTATTCCTTGCATTTAATTTTGAAATGATCAGAAGATATGGATAATGACTTCTCTCCAGCCCTGTGGGCTGCATCTCTGATCCAGTGCTCCAGGTGACAGGCAGCACAGTTGCTGACCTCTCAAGGCCCACGTAGCTTTGGCCATTGCTCAGTCAGTGGTGATGGCACAGTCCCACTGTGGGACAGGATTCAAAAGATGCCCCCAAGATCCCTGTCCACTCTTATTCAATCATATGCTAATTGAGGTTCTGCTGGGAAGGGACTTTGTAGCTGAAATTAAAGTTAATAATCAACTGACTTTAGGGAGATTATCCCGGGTTATCTGAGTGGGCCCAGTACTCTCATGAGCCCTAAAAAGCAGCAAGGGAACAGAAGAGTCAGCAAGGTGTGCGAGAAAAGGGAGTCAGAGAGATCCCAGTGTGACAGTAGCTCAGACTGCCACAGCCGGAGCCAGCTGCAGAGAGAGCATAAGACTGACTTCAGGGACCCTCCGAGCCAAGATCAGCCCCAGCTGGCAGTGGACAAGGAAACAGGTCCTCAGTCCTACAACCACAAGTACCTGAATTTGGCCGACAATTTGAATGAGCTTGCATAAGGACCCCAAGCTCCAGACGAGACACAGTCCAGGCTGACAGATTGATTTCAGCCTTGCTGGACCCTGAATAGAGGACCAGCCACATTTGCTGCACTTCTGATCTACAGAACTGTGGGAGCACAAGTGGGTGTTGCTTCAAGCTGTGCAGTGAGTGGTAATGTGTTACAGCAGAAACAGACAATGAATGCATTCACCTCTGACGCCTGCCAGTGGATGAGATCACTCACTCTAGTCAGTTGTCATCATGGTAATGCTGTGAACAGAACTTCCTCAAATGCACTGGCTTAAACAAGAGCCATGCTCCCTCATCCATGCCTGCGCAGGTTGGCAGGGGCAGCTCTGCTGATCTTGGTTGGCTGGTTGGGTCCAGACAGGCGTGGCTCTGTGGAGATCTGCTCCATGTCTCACATCTTTTGAGACTAGCTGGTTACCCAGGGTAGGTGCCTCTCATTGCAATGGCAGAAGTCCAGGGGATAAGACCAACCATGCAATATACCCAAGACTCCACTCGCATCCCATTGACCCAAGAACGCAGGTGGCCAAGCTAAAGTCCATGACAAGGGGTATGAATAGGGGAGGGTGAGTGGCTGAGCCAGTAGCTGGTGGAGGAACCTGAGAAGGCTACACGGGCCTCCAAACCCTTTGGTGCTGGAGCCCTGAGAAGGAGAGGCATGTTCTCCTGAGTCCTGAGCTCTTTCTGAAAAATCCCCCAACCACACTCCTCTGAAGCATGCAAACCCCTTGTAGCACCCTCAGAGCCAATCTGGCCTTCAGAGGGGCCAGTCATTTGAGGTGTGGCTTGATCCCTAGAGGTGATCAAGGGGCAGTGGTCAGGAAAAAGGAGCTCATGGTAACTCATTCCTCATCCATCCCTCCTACTGGATCGAGAGCAGCTCCGGAGAGGCCCTGTGCCCTGTTTGTGTTTACTGCCTCCCACTCCCAGCACCTGACAGTCTCCCATTCATATACCCTCAATCCAGCATTGCCTGCTTACCATAAAAGAGTTTGGTCTGGATTGGCTCACACAACCAGCCAGGAACTAAATGTGGTGGCCTCAGGAGGATGGGGTTCTCTGATAGGCCAGCATCTGTCCAGGACCGGCTGGTGAGGAGCGGTTCCCAGGGGAAAGGAAGTGGGGCGATGGGATGCATCCACCTCAGCCACTCACTGAGGCTCTTAGAAAAGCTGTTCTCCCTTTGAGTCTCTTTTCTAGTCTGTATAATGGAAGGCTTCAGCCCTCGATGAGTCATGTGGTTTCCTTCAATACTAAAATTTCATTATTTAATTACGGCTGCAGCACCCACTTCCGCGGGTTTCTTTAGTTGTATTTGTGGGAAAGATGCTCCCCTTGCATCCTAATGTGGCAGAGTCCCTCCACGGAGTGTGAGTGGAAGTTCCATGTGGCCCCTCTGAGATGAGCACACCTTCTCTATCCACTCCTTCTCTTTCCCTTGGCTGGAAGCTGAGGTCTCAAAAGCCCAAAGCCCAGGGGACATCAGAGCCCCAGGTGGAATAAACTGAGACCCCTTGGTCACTACGTGGAGGAATGTTGCCCGCCGAGCAAACTCTCTGTGGACTCTTATGTGAGTGAGCAGTAAACTTCTGTTTCTAGCCACTGAAATTTTGGAGATTTCTTTATAACAACTCATGAAATGGTCATGGTGATCAGCTCTAAGTAGCCTAAAGAAAGAGGTGCCCCTTAGGCCAGAAAATAGCTCTCCGTGCAAAGGATGGGACCTTCAATGTAACGTTATGGATGCCCCTGTCCATCCTGCATAAGGAAGAATCTGCCCAAGAAATCGGCTATGCCTGCCCTGCTGGGGTGACAGCACAAAGGGCATCAGCTTATTCTAAAAAGTGGAAAATTTGTTTTATTTCAATTATAAATAGTACCTGTTAATAATAAGCACTTTGGAAATTATGAAAGGTAATGTGGGTAAAAACCAAGTCACGGTTAACTAGTTGGCGTATTCCCTTTCTTTTCTTTTTCCCCAGATTTGAGTCAATGAGTCCAGCCTGGGCAACATCATGAGACCCCTTCTTTAAAAAAATGAAAATGAAAAGGTTTGAATTAATGTGTCGATGTGTGGCACCTCTATTTGAAATGCATTTTAAATGTAAATCAATCTTCTGTGTTGATCCTTTGTGTTTTATGATATTCTAACATATTTTATATTTTTACCTTTTATTCCATTATATGTAGAAGATTTCAGTTCCGTCTGTACATTATTCTATTTAATAATTATTATTATCATTCATTGGAGCAAGTATGATATCTATTTACAAGTCTTATTTCTTATTCTCTAACCCATCTTCTCAAAAAATGGAGTATCTCTGGGGATACTTGTATGTGAAAATTTGCATTTGCATAGTTTTTCTAAAGTATCTGTTTCCTCTGAGATTCATTTTTTGTGTGGCTGTTTTTTTTATTTTGTTTTGTTTTTTGTCAAAATCAGTCAATATATTTATGTGGGTCACTTATGGGTTTTTTACTCTGTTCTATTGATCTTTGAGTATTCCCATACAGTCTTCTTAAAAAGACATTGGTAGATACATGCTTTCTTTAAAAAAATAATAATTTGGTGTGTGTTGTATATACCCACAATTCTTAGAAAGTAACAATAAGAGACTTCCACTTCCAGAAACGTAGAGTAGATGCTCTTTTCCTTATTCTAACTGCTAACTACAGTTAAAAAAGCTGGACACCATGTGCGAAACACGCGTGAGAAGACAGTCAAGGTGGAGAGGAGAAGAAAGACGAGCGGAAGAACTTGAAACCCAATGAACTACACAGTGGTGATTTTTCTAGCTTTTCTTTTTGCCTCATACATCCCAGACACAGAGATGAAGAAGTCGGCACCCCAGAAACACCAAGGGCACAAATTTAAAAACAAAACAAAACAAACAAACCTGCTATCCTTGGCCAGAGGACTGGAAGAGAAGCTGTTTAGTAAGACACAAAACTATTAGATAATCATGGCTCTGCTCCAGCCACACACCACTGAAAAACTGTGGTCCCACCCCACCCATACCGACAAGGACAAAGTGGGGAGATTAGACTTTCACCCTCGAGAGGCTGTAAGGCAGCACCCCAAACCCCTACAGCGTGGTGTCCAAGAAGGCTTAGTGGAGGGTCAGAATTTTCACCCCCACCCAGCAGTAATGAGGCCATGCCCCACCCCATGGTGTCAGCCGAGGCCATGTGGGGAGCAGTAAGAAAACTCTCCTACCACTCTGGGTGAGGCAAATATCAGTGGAGGCTTGATGAGCAGCCAGACCTCCCACACCCACCCAGCAGTGAAGAGGACTCTTCCGTATTGGGTGTCAATGGAGGTGACAGGTGAGACAGGACTGCTACCCCTACCAGGCAGTAACCAGACCTTCCCTTCCTCTGCCAGAAGAGTAACAGGGAATACCAACTCAAACAGAAAGTTTGAATAAGATGCAGAGTCTCATAACATAATAATAAAATGTCCAGGTTTCAATTTAAAAAAATCACTTGTCATACCAAGACCCAGGGTATCACAAATGGTATAAAAAACACAACCAACAAGTGCCAACACTGAGATGATGAGATGTTTGAACTTTCTGGCAAAGATCTGAAAGCAGTCATTATAGGAATGCTTTGATAAGCAGCTGAAGCAAATGAAGACATAGA